CACAAAGTTTATTCACAGGTTTTACTTGACTCCTGATATCCCATCACCTAAGGCCAATTATCTCTGAAAAATTACCCTTGGGCACTGCCTATTATTGAATGCCCTAGACATTGTTCCCAAGGGTTTTCTCTACTTCCATTAGTATTACCAGACCCTTATGTTAAATGAACACAGAAAGATTTTTTGTTTTGTTTTGTTTTTTTAATAAAGCAGAAGAATTATCTCAGGATCTCTGCCATCTCATCATTTCCTCTCATCTTTAACTACACCTGAAACATCACTGGACTCTTATCAGAAATCCTGGCTTCCATATAGAAAAGACAATATTAACTTGTGAGCCTTTTCTGTTATTCCTTTCTTTTACTTCTTTACTTCCCTCTCTGAATTACCCAATGTCTGTACTGCATTGCTCACTTATTTTTTGAGATAAAGCAGTAATGAAATTAGAGTAAAAAGTGCAAATAGAAGAGGGACTCCCACAACAAGAGCAACCTTTTCTTCTTTATTCATCACATTAACAATTCAGTTCCCCAAATTTGAACCAATTTGACAGCTGATTTTACAAGCACAAAGTGAGCATCTACCAAGAAATGTAGCTGATGCCAGTAACACAGGCAGAAAGTTTTGTACCATTGCTTTGGTATGCAGAATGCTGATGTAAAATTAAACCTAAACAACTTTAATTATGATGTCTTGTGGAAATGATGTATGCATATTAATGCTGCTGATGTTGTTGTTAAGTGCTGTCCAGTCAGTTCCAACTCATAGTGACCCTGTATGGGGTTTCCGAGGAGCGGCTGGTGAGATTGAACCACCGACCTTGCGAACTAACTCGTTAAATGAATAATTCCAACAAATACTTGTCTATTTCATCTCTGCTAAGTGGATGAATTAGTAAAAGCATAAAATAAAGATAATCATGAATAATTGTAATTTGAGAGCTTTCTCATAGAGTATTATAAAAAAGCACATAAGAATTTGTTTATGACTTATTCCCCAGTTTCCCGAGCAGTGTTGCTAAGCACCTAAAATAGTTTAAAAGGCTATCTTAATTGTAAATAAACTAAATATTTGATGAATGTGTGGCTGAATAAAAACATTAAAAAATATGTTAATGAGCAAAACACACCTGCCAGATCTTCTTCAGGATGAAGAATCCTTGCATCCTTCAAGTGTTTTCAGGAAAGGCAAAGAATCATTTCACCTAAGCATTCACCTGTGCAGGATGTCCTTTACCAGTATGCAGGTAAAAAAATGGTTTCAATTTTACAAATTCGTTTCATAGAAATGGAGTCCTGGTATGGCACTGTGGGATAGGTACTGGGCTATTAATTTCTAATTTGGCACTTCAAACCCAGCACCTGCAGTGAAGGCACTTAATAACAACAACAAATTCATAGAAGTTAAGAATATTACAAGTTTTCATATTCCTTGGACAAAACTACATTAATAATAGCTGAGTGATGATCTTCATTTTTTAATAATCTCATAAAGAAAATAATACTATGACTGTTAGATGGGAGAAATGTTAGTATTCCTTTTTAGGTAATTTTTAATTATTATTTATTTTTCTTCAACATAACTGTTAATTTGAGTACCTTTCTGTTTGGATGGGAATCCAGGTAGCCTAGTGTGTTTCAAGTCGAACTGCTAACCACAGGCGAGCTGTTTCAATGTACCAGCTGCTCTGCAGGAGAAAGGTTGTAAAGATTCACTGTCTCAGAAACCCTGTACAGGGTCTCTATGAGTAGGAACCAATTGTAGGGCACACAACCATGCACAGTCTATTTGTAATGTTTTATAAATACAAAATTCATTAAATTATATGGACTATTGGTGGTGATGGTGGTGTGCCGTGGAGTCAGTCCCGACTCATAGCCATCCTGTATAGGGTTTCCAAGGCTGTAAATCTTTATGGGAACAGAAAGCCTTATCTTTCTCCTGCTGATGTGGAGGTTAGCAGCCAGACTCATAACCACTATGCTACCAGAGCTCCTTAATATGGACGATTTTATTTTTTATAAATGGGAAACTGATGCTTAATAATGTTCTAGAGGCTCACCATAGCTGTATTTGAAACATAACTTCCCAGAAGGTCATAAAGCCTCAAATCTACTAATCTGCAATACGAACAGGTAGTTGTTGTTGTTGTTAAGTGTTTTCCAGTTGGTGCCAGTTCAGAGAGATCCTGTTCTGAGAAACAGCTGGTATGCTGAAACCGTCAACCTTGCACCTCAAATGGACCTTACGTGCAGCGCTTATTCTATAGCACTACACCAGGACTTCAGGGAAAGAAAATATTAAGAACCTTTATTTAAAACCTAAACCTTCAGAAGGAAATCAGTATGACTAGAGTAGAGCTACTTGTAATTGTAGAAGCAGCCTTTTTTAACCAAGTCAACCATGTAAAGATACCAATAATGAATTGTCAGTAAACAGGTTGGTATAAACCAATAAGAACCAGAACTATACAGTAAACCATTTCCAAGGGTTCTAAAATAAAGGGAAACAATATATAAGGGGGGAACAAAAACTTTTTAGTCTCCTGGCAGTTAGCAAGTTTCTATAGGTTGCATGTGGATACATAGTTCATGATTTAAAGTTGTCAGTAAAACAAAAATGCAACATGTGACAGCATAGCAGATTTGTCCTCATAGGTACAAAATTCAGAGTACAAAGAAAAGCAGGTTTGGGAATACACATTTTACTGTTTTGAATTAGCAAGGAAAATAAGCTGTTTGTAGAACTCCAGATTAAAGTGTGCTCATTTTTAAGGAGCCTTAAAGCTAAAGGTCTACAATATCTCTGTAGAGGTCATATAACACATACTAACCCATTACCACTTACAGTTATAGTTTTGAAAGACAACTTTAGAAAGCAAATGGGATTTAGTAAAATATATATTAAATTACTTATCCATCACCAATAATCCTTATACTCTCCAAATATACAGAAAACAATATTTTTATACATCAGTTTATTTAAATTCTGAGATATATTCTGGTTGTTTGGGAAAAAAACTACTCATTTTAACGAAAACAGAAGTTTCAAAACACTTCATGTTATACACTTTGATAATACTATTAAAAATACTGACCAACAAATAATAGTGAAGTAAATTACAAGTAAATATAATAAAAGCCATTTTTATTATTGAGAACTTGAGGATCCATTGTGGCAAATTTGGTGAATGTATGAATCAGCAATCAGTCAATCCATTACAATTTCAGGTAAATTCATCATTGTTATGTGTGTGTGTGTTTTTCAATCCCTAAAGTTTTGAAATATATATTTATGGTAAGAACACTTTAATAGTAGACAAATTCCAAGAGTAAAAATTGAAGCAAAATGTAAAGCATAAATACATATCTTCTCCTATAACTGCTCAACAAATATTGTATTTTAAGGATTTTTGTAATACTTGCAGATAATTCCTATTTGAAGTATTTTATCAATATTAGCTTAATGAGAGAGTTGTTCTTGTAGATTTTTTTTTGAAGACTTCTACATATTACCACTAAGCATTGCACTTATTGCATGTTGACTAAGTTCAATAATACATTGACTGAAATTCAAGTAACTTTAAAAAATTCTGACAGGGATCTAATGCATAACTCAGATTCCATCAATTTAAAATAGTATAGAATCTATTCTAAAATGGAAAATTCACACAAAGTGTCACCATATACCAGAAAGGCATATAATAGTTCCGATAACTTAGGATGACTTTATTTTGTTATTATTCTTTAAGTACTGGACTGCTAACCACAAGGTTGGTTGTTCAAATCCAGCAGCTGTTCCTTGAAACAGCTGGCTTATACAAGGTCGTTATAAGTCAGAACTGACTCAACGGCACTGAACAGCAACAACAACAACAAGTAAGATCTTAGGGATTTTCTAGAATTATATAGCTAGCGATGGCAATCAGGGTAATAGATAATGAAGAAATATGACTAAGGTTTAAAAGCATTAAAGAGGACAGATGTAGAAGTAGGCAATAGCAAAATAAAGCATTTTTGTTGTTGTTTAAAGGAGGGGTGATTGCAGTGTTAGAAGACAAAAACTTCAAATTAAAGATTTTGAAATGTAAAAACGATGCAATTTTGAACTAACTACTGGATTATGATATGACATTGGACTGTTAATCACAAGGTTGGCTGTTCAAAACCACCTATCACTTCTCAGGCAACTTGTAAAGGGTTTCTATGAGTTGGAACCAACTTGATGGCACTTAATAACAGCAATAATCATGACATTAAATAATAAGACAGTAGAACTCCCGTTCTTCTCCCCAACCCTTACCCCTATGTATCTCTAATGGAATGAGTGGTTGTAAGAATATACAAAAGAACCACAAGTAAACAAATATCTGGCACCTAAAATATTTACATAGTATACTCTAACATTGAGAAAGTGTAAAAACCTGACAATTCAGGAAAGTAAGATGAAGATGATATTACAATGACAAGATTATATGCTGGTAACGTGATATAGTCCTGGTATGGCACTGTTGGGTAAACACTCAACCGAAAGGTCGGTTTGAATCACAAAGTTGGTGGTTCAAACTCACTAGTTACTCCTCAGAAACCCAACACAGGGTCATTGTGAGTCAGAATGAATTCAAGGGCATACAACAGCAACAAAGTGACAGATTGTTAAATTTCAAGGTAAAATAGACATGGATGAATATTTCTTGTTATTGTTAAGTAACGTCAAGTCAGTTCCAACCCATAGCGACCCTGTATAGTGTTTCCAAGGAGTAGCTGGTGAGCTGGAACTGCCGACCTTATGATTCAAACTGACTTTGCAGTCTGATGCATTAGCCTACAACACCACACCAGGACTCCAAAATTTAGGAAGGGTATGATGAATGTAGGATGAATGTATGGATGAATGTAGACAGTAAATGATCTTGAGCTAATTTTCTTCCTCATGATTTATCTTTGTTTTTAAGGGATTTTTTGTCTTTGTCTTTCCTGTCCAAAGCAGAGTACTCAAAGATGCCTAACTCTACTACAGTGACTGAATTCCTGCTTATGAGATTTTCTGATGTGTGGGAGCTCAGAGTCTTGCATGCCATGCTATTCTTACTGATGTACTTGAGTACCCTGCTGGGAAACCTTCTGATTGTCACAGTAACCACTTTTGACAAGAATCTTCATACCCCTATGTATTTCTTCCTTAGGAATTTATCTGTCCTTGACATGTGCTACATTTCTATCACTGTACCCAAGGCATGTACCATCTTCCTGTTTGACAACAGAGCAATCTCTATAGTTGAATGTGCAGCTCAGATATTTCTTGTGGTTTTATGTGCTATTGCAGAGGTGCTGTTTCTCACCATCATGGCCTATGACCGCTATGTGGCCATCTGTCATCCCCTCCACTATCCTGTGATCATGAATCCTCGTTTCTGTATACAGATGACACTGGCCTCTATATTCAGTGGTCTGATCTATGCCAGTGTGCACACTGGAAACACATTCCGGTTGTCTTTCTGTCACTCTAATGTGGTCCATCAGTTCTTTTGTGACATACCTTCTTTGCTAAAGCTCTCTTGCTCTGACATCTTAATCAATGTGGTTATAATATTTTTCTCTGCCCTAGTGATTGTTGGTAGTTGCTTTTTCTTCATCATCATGTCTTATGTTCGCATATTTTCTGCTGTGCTTAAATTTCCAAATGTAGGAGAGAGAAGAAAAGCCTTTTCCACCTGTATACCTCATATTATTGTGGTGACAGTCTTTGTCACCTCAGTGAATTCTGTGTATATGAAGCCAACCTCCAACTCACCCACAGTTCAGGACATGATCATTTCTGTTTTCTACTCTATAGTCCCTCCTTTCCTAAATCCTATTATCTATAGTCTTAGGAACAAGCAAATTAAGGATGCTGTTAGGAGAATTATGAGGAGGATATTCTATTCAGAAAAACAATAAATTCAGTATTTTAAGATATTCTCACTTTGATGAGGCGCAGTGAATAAATGCTTCAAAATTAGATTCCTTGCCTAATTTCAAAATCTGGCCACCTGACTTGATATCTAAGTGATAGTTAATATTGTATTATCATATGTCAGCATAGATAAAATGCTGTTGTTAGTTATTCATAGCAATATTACCTATAACGGAATGCATTTTGACTCATAGCAATAATATCTATAGCAATGCTATCTATAACAGAATGCCATGTTGCTCAGACTTGTAATATCTTTATGGTTACGGCTGTGATGAGTTCATTGTTGTGAATATTATGTCAGCTAATCTCATTGAGGGTGTTTCCTCATTATGATTGAAACTCTATCAAATTTAACTTTAGATTTTCTCTTCCAAAAAATGCATGTTCCTTAATATATGAAATATGCATCATATTTGATAAATATTTCTCTTTAGAGCTATGTAAAAATCCAAGACTACGCCAGCTATATATTAGCTTTGATATATTTTGTTATCATGAGAAGAATCTCATTTATTCAGCTGCATAAATATTTTTATGTGTTTCATATCTTTAATTCTGTAAAAATTTATTCATTGACATCAGCTAGAGAACATTTCACACACTGCTCTGCTTGACAGCCAGTCTCTTATCTCTCTCTTCAGCAATTTTAAGGCAGATAACTTTTCCTTGGGGAAGAGAAAGCCATGGTTTGTTGCCTTTGCCATAACAAAAATGTTGTAAAGTCAGGTGGCAAAGGTGTTGCCGTTGGCATCTTTCATATTAACCACATAAAAAGAGCCAGGATGCCTCTCTCTGTTAGTGATCACACCAATTCTAGCCAGGTTGGCACCTCTAGTCACCATACACAGGTTACTAGCATCAACCTTGATGAAATAAGTTATCTTTCCAGTACCCAAATCAATCTGAATGGCATCATTCACCTTGATGAGGGGGTCAGGGTAGTGCATAGTGTGAGCATCATGGGCCACCAGATGGGGAATTCCTTTTGTGCCCACAAAGATCTTTCTTACATTGCACAGCTTGTACTTCACCTCCTCAGATGTAATACAGTGAACAGCAAATCAACGTTTGATGTCATAGACCAGACAGAAATTTTCCGGTTTTGTCAATGCTGGTGACATCCATAAAACCAGCAGGATATATTATATCAGTTATATGTTATATCAGACCTTGCCATCAATCTTAATGAACCGCTGCACACAGATCTTTTTAACTTCATCTCCTGTCAGGGAATACTTAATTCTGTTCCTTAAGAAAAAGTTCAGTGGGAGACATTCTCTCAGCTTATGGGGGCCAGTGAAGGGGCGTGGGGCAAACACACCAGTCAGTTTGTCCAGCATCCAATGCTTTGGGGCAGCCACATGCTTAAGATGCTTCTTGGGACCACAAGCCATGGCTGCACTGAACAGGAAAGAGGAGTCCGATGCATATTTAAGTATAACTAAAAATAAATAAAATAACATCTAAAAGCTGGTCATAAAAATGACACTAAATAAAAATAGGAGCATCTGAATGTGTGGTTGGTAGAAAAGTTTAATAGTATCTTATATTATTCTATATAATCTATAAGGACAAATTTTTATAAAATGTAAATCCTTGGCTTATTTAGAAAGTTTAGTATTAAGATTAGTTTAGGCAAATATTTTGTTACCTTTCTAAATTCTTCATTCATGCATTCAACATATTAAAATGTCTAAAAAAAATTAAGTGAAGTTTTTCATATATAAGGATTTCAAAGGCTTCTACAGTATCTGTCAAAATGTTCACGATATATTCTGTGAAATAGGATATTATGTGATTTGGATGTTGCTTGTGCAAACACCATATTGAAATCTTGTGGAAGGTACTTCCAGCAAGATGGTGAACTAAGCAGACATGCTCCCCAGATGATCTACAACAAAGACATGAGAAACAAAATGAAACATATGGATGCCAATCCTGGAACCCTGAGCTTCAAAGGAAAGTAAAGAAATAGATTGAAAACTGACTAGAAGAAAATGAATGAAAGTAGCAAACAAGGAGACATATGGAGTAGTGAATTGTCAACTGGTATGACACAGAGTAACCATTTTAAATATTGCACACAACATTCCATTTGATGCAAGAATCTGATGATTGACTCCACTCGCCAAATACTAGACCATAATCCACACTGATGACTGGTGAACAAAAAGATGTGATCTCTTCCTTATTCCTCATACCCTTCTAGGGACCAGAAGTGTGGCCATCCCACACCCTCACGAATCTGGGAGCCAGTGACACGTTTCCCTACCCCATCCCACCCCAGTGTTTGGAGTAAAATGTTCTCTGTCTCTGCACCTGGTAGAGGCATCTTGTCCCACATTGGATATCCTGCTCCCTGCCACCTCTTATGCCAGTGGGGGTACCGACCTGGACCAGTCATCTCTTGGGCCAGCAGAATCAAAGTCTAAGACTGGGATCATTGCCACCAACTGCCTCACAGACCGATAGAAGCACCATCCTGGTCCTTGAGTAGGCACCCTGTCCCCTGTGACCTTTGAAGTAAACAAAGCATATCAATTGTTGTTATTGTTAAGTGTTGTCGAGTTGGCTTTAACTCATAACAAACCCATATAGTGTTTCTGAGGCTGTAAATCTTTGCAGTGTCTGAAAGTTTTGTCTTTCTCCTGCAGATCTGCTGGTGGGCTTGAGCCACTGACCTTATTGTTTACAGTCTAATGTCTGTCAGACAGTGCTCCTAATGACCTTCTTGGTAGACAGAACACATCTGTTAGATGCCCCAAACTCTATTTTTATCCTTCTTTTTATTTATAATTCCCTTCCCTTCTTTTTTTCCTTGTTTTTCTTTCCTCTTATATTCTTTTCTTTTGTTTTTATTTATTTTATTACTTCCATTTTATTTACTATTTTATTTCATTTTTTTCTTTCTTGTGTGATTCCCCTCCAACCTAGGGAGGAAAGAAACCAAGTCAACACTACTCAGGCATAGCTTCAGTGCCACAGTATTATCTACAGGCTAAATGCCAATATATGCCTCTGCATCAACTGATAGTTGACAGATGGTGGCCAACACTAGCCAAGTCTGCCCTCAACTGCTCTACATGAAAAACAATTAGAGAATTGTACACACTATCATCTGACACTCACAAGGAGACAGGTGGTGATGGCTTAAGTGCTGACAAAATAGGGAGTAAAGCAGAATGTCTCTCTTGCTCATTCAGATATATAAAAACAAAATAAAGCAAAAAATAAAAAAATAAAAGAGAAAACACACCAACATACAATAAAGACTTGAATACAAATGTGTCACCACCACAATGTCCTGGTGCAAAATGACAAATTGAGTTCACACAGACAAATAAACAGAGTAGCTCAAATAAGTGACCAAAATAGAAAACAGTTCTGAAAAAGAAATAATATTGGAACTACATGGGAAGGAATTCATAAGATTCCCTAGTGTTGCAAAGAATTTAGATAGGTAAACAAACAACAACAAAAAGAAATTCAGATGTATTC